ATAAAATCCGTCCTGGAAGTAGGAAAGGGTTCCTTATCGATAAGAGCCGCTTTTGAAAACTTTTTAATATAAACTAAGAGATTGCCATAAGAAGGGTAGGAACTGTCTTGTGCCAGTACTTATTTACGCATTCATTAATCCGGTAACTCCGGTTAATTCTTTCGTTATTCGGACACTAGTGGAAGTGGTCGTGTGAACGGCCAAGATTGCTTCAAAATGGATTGGCTGATATTTTCCTTCATAAAGTAATAGCTTATTGTTGAAGGAGCGAGCCTGGAAGGCAGCGAAAGGAATCAACGACGACGCATCAAATGCTGGTCCTTACCATATGATGCCCATCAAGGTTAGCAACAATTCAAGTATTTTCACATTTTGTAGCTATTGCTGCCACCATTGCAAGGGTATATCATAAATTGCTGCGAAAAGATGAAAACACGATCCTGTTAATCAAATTTTATTTATGCGTGGATGTCTCTGTAATTACCACAGTTGTAGTTTTGGGCACATCTCCATTCTTGAGAACGATGATAAGCACTGCACCAGTCACCATTCCTGCCCAAAGCAGCCAAAACAGTACCAACACAGCGATCCTTAAATAAGATTGACGAGATTTCTAGTAGGAAACAGACAGTGATATTGTTCACCTCCAGGTTTTCCAGAATCTCGTTTGCCGAGCTATTTCGAGCTGCTTAGCCGTTAAGCCAATAACCAATTTTTCACGTGAATCATCCGAGCTGCTCTGAATAACAGTTGACCTTTAGTTGGACGCGGAGCGCGCCAATAAAAGCAGCACATATTTTTCGCTCCGTACTCTGGTCGGGCGATTAGCATTCACAAAAAAAAACAGTATGTCATTGAAATACCTTTTCGTTGGAACTGCTTATTGTACTGTGATCTCTTCTCATTGTCATTCCATTCGATGACATCCTGAAAGGATATGTTAGCATCAGTATTGCATTAAACTTGCACTGCACTACATTCAACAAACAGCTAAACTTGGTGGTATTCCGCACTCAGGTAGAGCTTGCTCCACTCAACCTTTAGGTTAAATAGAGGAAGAAGCTGAATAGAAGCCTCTGTCACTGGGAGGTACCGGCTCAAAAAAGCAGTCTTTTTTGAGGGGGCCATACTAACAGTATGTAGATTTAAGACGCCTTAAATAATACACTTGAAATTGTCGAAAAGATCAGGGTCAAAAGAGGCAGGACTTTCTATCCAAAAACATCCTCTTTGCTGAAGCAAACAGAGTTGAAATAGCGTTGGGGACAATGGCAGAAACATGGTAATCGTGAATGCAATTGCTTCTTTGGAATTGGTGGTCTTTTTTTTTAGGTATTTTTCCTCAATTTCGCAATCATTTACATCTCTAATAAAGTAACTATTGGAAAATGGGAACATTGCTTCGGCAAACGTTATGATTCGAAAGACGATATCTGCATATAAGTGATAAGAATTCCTTCCAAAGCATGTGTTCTTATCGGTTCTCCATCTCTAGTTTTTAATTGACGCATCCAGTTCGTTATCAAACCTCATCGTGATGTTCGGTCTTTGAGCGCAGGCCGTAAACATGCACGCTGCAGTGTTTATGCAGCCGACAGGAAATCAAACTGGGTTTACTTTACGTGCTTGGTGAACACGCAAGAAATCAAATGGAACGAATCCAAAGTGAGACTAAGAGATGAAGCCTTCTACCTCGATTGGTAATTGCATCTTGCGATGCACCAAGAATTCCGCTTTTATTCAGAATTAGTTGCATTTGAATGCACTCTGGCTTATATAAGGGCTTGCAGAAGCCAGCCAATGATCTGGCCACTTTTTATACTTCAGCAGAAGTCCGACACTGTAAGCGGATGGTTGGATATTCTTGATGATTGAATGGTTACAATCCGGATTCGATCCCATGCACAAGCGTAGTGAGGGGGTGCATTTATCAATGCACTACTTGCGCCGCTAGAAAAGCTTGTGGCTAGCTTGATCTATTGTCGCTGTTTTGACGAGGCATATTAGTGGTTGATGCAGAACTTAAAAAATGGATTATGAATTTTCTCTAGTAGTCAGCAAAAGTGTACGAAGGTACACTGTGATGACAGCAGGATTGGGTAGATGGCAAGGTTTTGGTCTCAGAAGTGGTTTATCATATGATTGGTCCCTAGTGGCAAGTATACAGGCACATATAGGTATATTCAGATATAAAGTTGGGGAAATTCGAAACTCTTTCCTCTGCAGATAATATAAAGCTTTATCTTTTGATGTTGCTTGCCCATGTCCGATATATTCGAATCGTTACGTAGCCAGCGTGTCGATGCAAAAAAAAAAACATTCCCAAGTGTGATGATGATGAAGTCAGAAATGCTTCTTTCAGGTTTTGAGTGGAATCAAGTCGTTAGGCTGGAGTCAAAGACAATCTTTCGAGGTACTGAGGTTCGGTGAATCCATTCCTGCAAAAAGGAGTTGAGTTCAACTTACTTTCGGTGCTGCGGTTTAATTCAAAAAGTCACCCTTTCAAAAGCCTTACCAGGAAGGTCTTTCAGGGCGTGACGAGCTTTTTGAAAACGGTCTTTTGCATGATATAGGGGCAGATGCGGGGACCACAGAACCATGTTTAATTTTTCCTGAACGGCCCTCTGAATACCAGAAAAGGGGGTCCCTAGTTCGATTCCTCTTGGTGACAAATTTTTGCATTTCGAGTTGACGTTCCAAAATTCGCGCAAAATGGAGTTAGCATGAATAATTAGTACCATATTCATGATTAGGGCCGTCAGTAACTCCTACAAAAAGACTTTGACTTAAAAATTGGTGTGAGAGGCGTGACATCAAGCAGCCCCACTGTGGTGTCACACCTTTTTCACCAGTTTTTCAATCAAAGTCTATTTGTAAGGGTTACTGACGGTCCTAATCATGAATATGGTACTAATTATTCATGCTAACTCCATTTTGCGCGAATTTTGGAACGTCAACTCGAAATGCAAAAATTTGTCACCACGAGGAATCGAACTAGGGACCCTTTTCTGGTATTCAGAGGGCCGTTCAGGGAAAATTAAACATGGTTCTGTGGTCCCTCTGTCGCTTAAATATCAATTCAAAGACCGTTTTCAAAAGCTGTCATTCTGAAAGACTCCTTGTAGCCTCTGCTTCTGAATGCTTGTGAAGGGCTAGTTATAATCGGTCAATTTTAAACAGTCAAACATGTCTTTGAATCTTTCAAAGACGAGGTTTGGCGTCCCCTTTTACCTGTGCATTGTGTGGGGCTGGTGCTTTAGTTGTGAACTCGTGAATATTCCTCAACCCTATTCCTTTGAGGACACCTCTGCAGCCGAGCTGTCAGCAGCGAATTGTCAACTAAAGGATGATGGAAAACGAGCTGTAAGTTCTTGTACTTCAAGTTTGCATTTGCGTCTGCCTATTCATACTAAGTTAAATTGTTCTGAACGCTTGTTGCTTAAGATTTATGAAGTTACGCTGTGGGAGAAGCCATGGGAGAACTTCGAGCAATTCAACGTCAAAAAAGTGAGAACTCTTGCTGCAGGAGAGCAAGTTTAATCGCATTCGTCCAGTTCTTCTGCCAATGTTGTATATTTTGAATACCGTGACGTCGACGAATGTCCTTTGCATTTGATATTCCATTCGGTTTTCATGTAATTCAATCGCCTTGTCTGTAAGTGCTCAGTTTTAACGACAAACTCTGACAATATGATAACGCACCAATTTACTTGGAATAAAGCGCAACACTGATATGTTTGCTCGTTCAATTTTTATACTTCCTAAAGGCTTGAGTGCGCTTGAAGCGAAAGACTGACTCGATACAAAATGTCAAATTGAGTGAAAGCCTAAGCCTCGGCTTTGGAGGGAGAGACAATTGTCCGTTATGTCGATTTCAAAATTTTCCATGACCCTCTAGAGGAGAAAGAGGAGGAGTCGACAAATTTCAAAACATTTCGCCCTTCAAAATAGCTGTGGAGTGGGAAGTGGAGGGGGGGGTGGTGGGTGGGATGGTTCTGAACAGAATAATCAATTTCAGACATATTTCGCGAATTCTTCGGCAAAAATTGTCGGCTAAAGACGACACTCCTCTGTTTCTCTCTTCGCTGCAACACACCCCTGTTCCACCATTACGACTCCCACCCCACTGAAATTTTAAGGCTGCTTTCATAGTCTGCGCCGTCGCGGCGCTGTCCGCATGGTCCGTGCGGACCGCACGGACAGTGCGAAGAGCGTCAACACGCGCACTGGCGCATGGACGTACTTGGCACAGAGTGGACGCTTTGGCGTCATGCGCCAGTGCGCGTGTTGACGCTCTTCGCACTGTCCGTGCGGACC